GTAAAAAAACTGACCAGAATAAGTATAACAATCAACCCTGCACACAGATGATCCCTTGACCTGCTTCTGTATTCCTGGACTGTTTCTATAAAGGAGATAATTTGAGTCAGCTATATAATTATTCCTACTCATTGGGTCCTATTCCAATTTGAATCCAACTGCAGAGTAAAATATGCCCAAATTTGTCGTTAACATACCATAGATTTTTCTTTTCATTATAAATCAAACTAAATAGGTCATGATTGCTTAATCAGTATGCAAAGTGTTGCCTCTGGGAATCGCACACATCCTCTGACAGCTGAAATTGTTTTTAGTGCTTTGAAATCTAATTCTACCCAACTAACCCAGCCACAGTTCATTATTCCCTCATGTCCAATTTTTCATCATTTGAGGTGTAGATCTCTTCCTGGAATGGGAGTCATGAACACTAAGAGAGCTGGGATTTAATTAATTCAGGGGGAAATAGATTTTGCTACCACTCCTCCCAAGATATGATCAAGACCCTCCCCTTTCCTTCAGCAGCCAAGAAAGAAGGGAGAAAGACCCTCTCATGAAATTATGTGATTGATATACTCACACCTCCTCTTCAAGAAAGGGATTGATTCTCTTCCCTACAAAGGAAAGTCCACTTCATTCCTGAAAGTTAGTGAGTTCATGATCATTTGGCTTTATTAAAAAATCTCCTAGGGAAATTTACTTAGTCCTATGGTTTTCCACGCCATCAAAAAGGCAAATGACTCTCCCAAGTCCATTTCTGTCAGCCCTTAACTTTTCCTGAGTTACCCTCTCCATGTATACACTTGTGTGTCTGTTGGGCAGCCCAGACTTCACATAGCCAAAAGGATTCTTTTTTCTCTCCAGATTTGTTTCTCAGTCTTTCTTACACCAGCAAACAATCACTGCAAAGTATTAACTCATGGAGGGCTAGGGATATAGTTCAGTGGTAGAGCACCTGCTTCGCATCTGCAAGGCCCTGGGTTCAATCCTTAGCACTGCAAATAAATACTAATCCATTAAGTCCTCACTACCTATAGTCTCATTTCATGGACACAGCAAGGCTTAGATTTCAACCCAAGCAATTAAGTCTTAGCCATGGGCTAAATTACAATAACATGCTCCCATGAGTGAACAGTACTAACACTCAACCAATAGCCCAAACAAAAACCTCAGAGTCACATTTAATCTGTTTGCCTCTCATCCACCTCTAAGCCATTGGGAAGTCCTGTCAGACTGACCTCTAATCCTACCTCCTACCCTCACATCATCACCTACCCAAAGTAGTGCAACTGTCTCATACGCAATTCTCCAGTTCCCACTCATGGCCCTCTATAGTCTATTCTACAAAGTAACCAAAGTGATCTTTTTATAAAAGGTGAATTGGAACCAGTCACTTTCTGCTTCAAACCCTCTTGTAGCAATCAAAGCCCTTGGAATAAAATTACCAATTGGAGGCTCCAGAGGCTTTAGTCTGGTCTTCTCCTACTATATTCTACACACAGAGATTTCTTAAGCAAGTCCTCACCTCAGCTCAGGGTCTTTGCAGAAACTTTTCTTTGGCGGGAAAGCTCTCCCCTAGATCATTTCCTGATTGGATCTTTTTGTCATTCAAGTCTTAGCTGGGAAGTAACTTCCCAGGACAGAGACCGTCTGCCTGAGAATTGATCCAAGCAGCTTCTACCCCTCTCTTCCAAGTCACATTCTGGCACATCATTCCATGCAGCTGCCACCACAGCACTTCTGATACCTCCTCACGTGTTTCTTGCATTACTTGCTTCTTGTTCTTTTCTCTTTCAACACTCAATGAGAGTAGGAACCTTGTCCATCTTTGTTGAATCCTATTATTCTAAGGGTCTAGGTTAGCCCCCAGGCAATAATTCCTAATGATAGACACTCATTAACACTTGAATAATTGGCTGGCTAGGACCCCTTTAGTGGCTTTCTATTCCCTGTTGATAAACAATAACTCTATTAACTGATACAATAGGCCCTGTACAGAGAACCCCGCCACTCCTTTCTATCTTGCCACCACTAATTAACTGGATGCTGCCCCTAAGAGCAGGAGCCTTCTCTCCTGCCTGGGCCTTCACCAGATGTGCCACCCTCTCAGAAGGCTCCATCTGTCCCTCGTGGCCTGATTCCATTCTGAGCTCTTCAGAGTTCTGCTTACCCAGGAAACCTCCTAGGATCCAGCAATGCTGAATTTCCTCCTTCACATCCCTACAATATACTGTAGTTTTCTTCACATCACTTTTCACACTGATCACTTAACTTGTGAACAAAACAAAACAAAACTGTCTTCCTGACTACTCTGTAAGCGTCATAACTTCAGGGAATAATAAATCTGCTCCAGTCATTCAACGAGAAGCCTTACAGTAAGTAGAATGCCTGGCTACCAACACCCATTTGTTTTTTGAACATTGGAAAATGTCAACCACATATTCTTCCTGTGTGAATAGGCTAGAAGTCTTCCTTGATCTTGCTTGTTCTGGTTGCGTGGATTCATGGGTGAATAGGCCACTCTCTGCCTGCCTCCATCAGACGTAAGCACAGTGGACACAAGGACGTATCCTGCGCAGACACTCCCTACTCTTTCTCCTTCTCTTCTGGAGCAGAACTGCCCTGCCCCGCATTTGGATGTGTCTTATGCTCAGTAAGCAGAAGGTCAGTGAAATGATCCTACCTGGTTCTTACGCATCACAGGAAGTTCAGACCAGTGTGACACGAAGCCTGGAGACCGCAATGAAGAGCAGAAGCAAGGCCAGGTATAGTGGCTAATGCTTGTAATCCCAGCTACTTGAGAGGAAGAGGTCAGAAGGATCATATCTGAGCGATGCTCCCAGCCCAAAATTTCACATAATTTAAAATGTAACCCAATAAAAGCATGGTTACTCATACCTTCCCTTATACAAAGTAAGAGTATGGCAGGACAAAAACATTCTGTTGGTCTAAGTCCAGCTCTAAATATTCTCTAGAAGAGTAATTAAAAGTAAATCTCAAAAGATGAGAGACTCAGTCTTTTCTTTGGAATTAATTGCCAATATGTCTTGTACAAAAGCTGTCAACCATTTTGATAGCAAATCACAGTGAGTGTCAAGTATTCTGAGGAAAAATACCTGCCTACTTGAAATTTTTATGAGGAAAAGTGAAGAAAAATGTATTTAATAAATACTTAAAAGCAAATAATAAGAGACCTGGAAATGTCTCACCCTAGGCCAGGCTGTATACTGACTCAGGCTGAGGGTGGCCAAAGCTGAGGGTCCTTGGGGGAGGGAGAGAAGCTGAACCAAACAATTTGGATTTTGTTCTCAATGATCAAAGGGGACAAAACATTTCATCTAGTCACTTATGAGGGAAAGAATGGGAATTATTAGGAGGGTCTGAGTGTTTTTTGTCACAGGTAAACAAGGATCACGTGCAAGGCATATAGAGAAGGAAGGCTTTTGCAGTGAGATGTTTCCTGGAACACAGAGTGAGAGAATTTCTTAGCCGTCACTGTTTCCACGATCACATGGTACATGTAAAATTCAGCATTATCATTGGTTTCTTCCAGTTGTCTTCAATATAAGTCCTCTAAATAGTTTTCTACCTCCTGACTAACCCAGTATCACCAGACTAAAATCTGTCACCCGAGATCCCTACATCAGGACTCTAGTAGCCTTAACCTGGCCTCTTCTCCAGCACCTGAAGAACCCCTGTGACCTACAGCCTCAACGTTTGACTGATACCTCAATGGGCTCCTCACAGTAGCAGACCATGAGGGAGCTGGAATTCCTCCCAGACAAGCACTGTCTGGGCCACTAAGAAGTCCAGTAAAATGCTCAGATAAGCGTATGTTTATGTGTGCAAGAACCAAGACTGGACAATCATAAGAGCACGGTCCCAGCTTGAGAGCATCAAGTAACTCATTAAGCAGCATGCACAATCAAAAGGCCTCTTTCTCTTGGACAAGTGGAATCCATTGAACTGGTTACTTTCAGGTTGTTTACCTGAATCTAACCTTCTATATCAATGTTCTCTTCTTCATGTAAGTCATCCCTATTGTGAGATGCTTGATCCCAGGACTGTAAAACACCTGACCTTAGCCACTATTTCCCAACTGGTTTTGTGAAAACAATGCCCTGCGTTGTCTCCTAAAAGTTTGTGAACACTTCTGAATTGTTCACTGATGAACAGAACAGGAAATTCACAATGATGAACTTTGTCTGAGCCCAAAGCTCTTCAAAAATATACTGGTTCAGAATTCCCTGTCCTGTGTTCTAAGAAATAGCTAACACTAAAAGCAAAGCACTGCCCTGCTATGGTGCCAGCCAAAGATGCTTGTAGGCCAGAAGTTCCTCTTCAAGTGGATTAGTCCAAACTACCTAGACCTACGATGGCTGCAGGGTGATCCCAGACAACCTCTAACTTCATAATCTGCATACTAAATGACATACCAGTGTCACGACAGTTGACAGCTGCCATGATGAGACAGAAAGAACCATAAAAAGAGCCAAAAGAGATGGTCCCTGACTCCCAGAAAAATCTATGCCCATTCCCAGAACAGACATGCCTACTCCGCCCCATTATTATTTTTTTTACCCTATAGCTGTAACCTTCCCAACACCAATGGCTGAAGAGTTGATTTGCAAATTTATCATTAACTTCTGCTCTTGGCCACCAATAAAAGTTTCTTTCACTCCTCAACTAGAAAAACAAATAACAAGAACAAAATAAACCATAGAATAAAGAGAAAAATATTTAAGCCATAAAATTCCATAAAAGTAATCCCAATAGAATTAAGAGTTTTAGTCCACAGTTTTATTTTATGAATCTTCTTTATAAAGAATTATGATCACAGTTAATGATTATTCATATCTTTGCTTTGCTTTTTGAGAAAATATTTTTCCCTAGCTCCAAGTACAAAATCAGCTTTGTAGGAAAAACAAACAAAAAACTCAGAAGAGTGGCAAGGTAGCAGGCTCCCTTAAGTTTTTAAAAAATCCTCTCACTGCCATACTCACGCAGTGGTGGTCTGCATGTCATGCCAGCTTTTGCTGAAGTTCTGCTTCAATTCATTCATCAGGTTCATGCCGAGTTTTTGTTTGATCTCAACCAAATGCCTTTCTTTTGCTGACAAAACTTGTCGTAATGTTGTAATTTCGTCTTCTAGCTTTAGGTAAAAGGGAAACAAATAGTGGCAGAATGTCAGATCAAATGAAAAGTACATGTCAAAGGCTAACAGTGTTCTAAAATTGTCTGAATCCTGTTTATACAGTCTTATGTCTGGTGATCACCAAAACTTTCCATATAGGATAGTCTAGTATCTCAATTTAGAAGTCAGATTTTTAGTTTTAACGAACAAAAATTGGTTTTATAATATACACCTTACTTTATAAAACAACTTCTTTTCATGTGTCACTAATTAGTGCCTACTTTTTGCCAACCACCGGTAACTATACTGGTATATGAATAAATTTGTTTGACATTGTGCTTTTTCTTATCTAGTGTCTCCAAGGAGACAAAGAAGGAGAGGATATATGTAAGGGAATGACTTGGGTTGTTTTTTTTTGAACAGTTTTATTTTGCTGATGGTGCAATAACTGCATACAGGCTGGAGGCATGGCTCAAGTGGTAGAGTGCCTGCCTTGCAAATATGAGGCCCTGAGTTCAAACCCCAATACTACAGTAAATGTGAAGTAGACAATTTGTAAGTTTTCATACATTTACCACCTGTGCAGTCATCACCACAATGAAGGAAGGAAACACCAATCACCTCCTAGTTGCTCTTTGTAATTCTCTGCCCCTCTTCTTCCCCATCAAAAGCAGCCACTGACATTCTTTCTTTTACTAGAGTTAGTTTGCATTTTCTAGAATTTTATACATATGAGTTACACAATATACATGCATTTTCATTGCTTTGTTCACTCAGCATAATTATTTGAGGTTCATCCATGTTGCTGCACTTGCAAGGGTTCTTTTCTTTCCATTGCAGAGCAATATTCCATTGAATGGACTTACTGATTTGTTGCTGAAGGACATTTGGGTTTGGCTAATATGAATAAAGCTGCCATGAACATTCGTCTACAGGGCTCTGTGTGGACACGCCACTTACCTCTCCTCACCCCTCCGCTGCAGAAAAACAGATCTCTTCATTTCAAAAAATTGCTCTTGCAAATGTAATTTCTAACAAATGAGTTGTATAAAACATTCAGAGCATTTTTCTATCCTGTAAAACTAAGTTGAATCTCCAGGAAGTCTGATTTGAACTGGTTGTCATACCTTATATTGACTGTATAGATGCCCTATATGTATTGCATTGGTAACTGTGCTTAATTCATATTTTGCTTTCTGAAAAGTATAAGTACTTGTGACTATCAAGCCAGAGAAAACAATCATTGGAACTCTGGTGGTATCCCACATACACAGAGATAATAAAAGTCTGACACTTTTCTACACTTTGTGTGTACCCAGTGCGTGTGTGCATATGTGCATGCGTGTGTGTATGTGTGTGTGTGTGTGTGTGTGTGTGTGGTGCTGGGCCCTTACACATCCTATGGTGCACTCTACCACTGAGCATATTCCTAGACCTCTAGATTCCTTTTTGTTGTTGTTGTTTTAAAGGAGGAGAGTGTCTCATTTACATTCAGTGTCCCTCTATTTCTGAGCAAAGCCCATATCCCTAACTCCACTCATCATCATCTTGCAAATGTGTTCCTTGGGTCACCAGAGACTGAAGCCACTCAAGAATGGTGTAGGCCTTTGTAAAAATAGTCTTTTCACTAAAGCAAGGAAGATTTGCCCCAATGGTGAACAAGCAGGAATTAACTCCTGTTGTGAATTGTGAATTTTTGTTGTTGGTTTATTTTTGTTTGTTTGTTTGTTTGGCAAGCTGGGGATTGAAATCAGGGCTTCATGCATGTTTAACATGTGCTCTGTCACAGAGCTGCCTCCAGTAGTAAATATTCAAATTCACACTTAAGGAAAAGAGGCAGAGGGACTGAATGAGAAGGATCTTAAATTGCACCTTAAGAAAGCACAATACCTTGCGATTTTTTCATGTCAACAAGATGTTCTGACAATTTAACATCATCCATTTTTTATATGCATTAAATTTTTAAACATGTTCTTGGATGCATGCATATCCTAATAACTGCAAAAGGAGGACACACGGGACCAGCCATGGGAATAATTCTTTGAGTCTCTTCCTTACATGAGAACACATTATTATTTTAAAATCATCCCCTCTCTATTCTTTTCTATCTTGCCATATTCCACTTTTCATTTTTGTCAATGTGTCTTCCTGCATTTCATTTGCTGTCTCATATTTCCTATAGTTGTAGCTCTTGTTCTTTTACCACAGAGAATGCTTGGGCTTTATGTCTCTTTTTATTCTTTATTAGAAAGATTTTTTCTGTTTTCTTTCATTTAGAGTAACTGAAATTCCTGGGAGTTGGGTAGGTTTTTGTTTGTTTGTTTTGTTTTTGGTACATTGGATATTGCTGTAGTTTCTACTGTTACAAGAAAGAATGGGAAAAAATTTAACTTACTGAAGTAGGAAAGGAGAAAAAGGCTTAAACAACTTAATGTTTACAACCTCATGTCTGTGGAACCCCAGAAATATGTTAAAGATTACAAGGGAGAGCAGTGGTTATTTATTTATTATGAGGGGAGAAAGTAAAGGATTCAGTTTTCATTAGATTTTTAATGAAATTTTGATTCCCCTAAAGTGATGGAAACACTGAAGTGACCACTTTACCTAACATTATCTGCTAGAGTTTGGATCTGGAGTGCAAAGACCCATGTGTTAAAGGCTTGGTCACTAGCTTGTGGCACTATTAAGAGGTGATGGAATCTTTGGGAGGTGGAGCCTCGAGGAAGGAAGTTAGGTCATTGGGGATGCACCCTTGAAAGGGATACTGGGATGCTGGTCTCGTTTTCTTTCACTTTTTTGCTTCTTGACCACTATGAGGTGAGCAGCTTCCTCTGCTAAATGCTCCCATGATGATGTACTGTGCTGCCACAGCCCAAAGCAACATGGCTAAGTGACTATGGATTAGAACCTCTAAAACCATAGTTCAAATAAATCATTCCTTCTTATAAGTTGATTAACTTAGGTATCTTGTTACAGAGATGGGAAAATGACTAACTTATCATCCTAAAGAAAGAAACACGAAGTCCCACACCTAATAATTTTTAAATGTAGGCACACTTTAAATGGCAGTTGTGGGAAAGAGATTTCTAGTGATGGAGATATGAGCTTGGTTAATTAGTTGGTTCTATTATACTCAGGTTATAAATTGAAACAATAGTCTTAAAATATAAGAGTTTCATTTCTCAAAGCTTTTAGCATATTTACCAAAGACTAACTACTTGCCCAAAAACTTATTAAGAAATTCTCAGAAAATAGAACAATCTTAAATTATATGAACTTTCAAGATTCAAAATGGCCAACTACTTCTATAGAGCCAAAGGTCCTGTTACAACAGGAAGATCTTTAATCACAAATATTTTAACTTGTGATGGTGGTGAAATTCAATTCTTCATTTGACAAGATTTTGGGGAGTTTAGTTACACAAGTGGCTCTCAACTTCAGTTCATAAAAGAGTAACCCAGAGAGCACAAGAAAAATGTAGATTCTTAGGTATGTCCCTCTTTTTAATATCCTGAGATTCTGATATCTCAAATTGATGGAGGCCAGATAACTTACGTTATTTAACAAGTGCCCCCAGATATCTGATGCAGCAATGTGGAAACTCTATTTTGTAAGTACTTCAATTAGCTACATCAAATTTGGAATGAGATCAAGGTACAGGCAAATCATGTTAATTGATTAAAGTATTTGATAAATCCTTTCTCATTAAATTTAAATTCAATTATTTCTTCATTAGAACTGAGTAGTGTGATTCTTTGATTTCTTGATTCCCTAGAAGATCTACTTGTAGGATGAACACTTATGCCCAAGATTAGTTATTTAAACTCAGTTATTTATGGAGAACAAGAAAATAATAAGTCAACACTTGCAAAGATGTGGAAGAATTGGAACCTTTGTACATTGCTGATGGGAATATAAAATGATTCGTCCATTTTGGAAAACTATCTGGTGGTTTCTTAAAACTAAATATAGGATAACCATTTGGCCCAGCAGTTACAGTCCTATGTCTATACCCCAGCGGACTGAGAACACACATGTTCACAGCAATACTATTCATGGTAGCTGACAGGTGGAAACAGCTCAAATGGCCCTGAAAGGATGAACAGATGAGCAAACTATAGTATATACATAAAATAGAGTATTATTCAGCATAAAAAGAAATGAAGTTCTGACAATACTATAACATGTATGAATCTTGAAAACATCAGGTTAAGTGAAAGAAGCCAGACACAAGAGGTCATATATCATATGATTCCATTTATATGAAATACTTAGAATAGGTAAATCCATGCAGTCAGAGTACAGAGTAGTTGTCAGAGACTGGAGGAGGCAGAATGGAAAGCAACTGCTTAGTGTAAGTGGTTTCCTTTTAGGGTGAAAAAATTTATGTTTTGGAACCAGATTGATGTAGTGGTTATACAATGTTGTGTTTATTCACTTTGAAATAGTAATTTTATGTTGAATAAACTTTCCTTGATAAAAATGCAGAAAAAAGTGAATTAAGCTTAATTGGTTAATGAATTAACTTCAATATAAAATTTATGTTGTACTGTTAAGGTTAATTTTTCTATTTTACCTGCTAGATTACATGAAATTTATTACTAAAGCCCAGAAGAAATTCTTTGATAAACCATTAATCATCAGCTTTATGTTTAGTATTTGCTGTCTAACACATACCATCTCAAGGCTGTCCTTTCTGGTTACTGTTGCCTTTCACTGAGTCACCGAGAACTAAAATTTAATGCAGACACCATTTGGGAGGGCTATAATGATAAAACTTTTGGTTATGAACGTGTTTATGAGCTGTTCACTAGCTCAGTCCAGAAAGAATGAAGGTTTTGAGGAAGAAAGGGGGAGAGAAAGTATAGAACCTAAGCCAACTCTTTGCAAACCTAAGAGGCAGGAGCTTGAGGGCACTGTATGTTCTTGGAGAACTTCACACAAAATGAAGAGGAAAGAGCTGAAAAGAGATGCAGGGAGAATGAAAATAGGCTTTGCCTATTTGATAACATTGTCTGGTATTTTTCCTACTCCTATAAATACCTATTTTTCTTGAGCCATTTTATCTAAGGGATATTGGCAGCATTGGATTGTTATATAATCACAAATTGACAGCTCTTGTGCCAACACTCTATCCTAAAAGCCAAAACATATTATGGGATGCTGTGCATAGAATGTAGCTTAGTGAAATCAAAGTGAACATGGAATGACTGTAACAAGAGTTACTTATCAAGTTTATTTTAAGAAAGAGAAAGAGAGAAAGAGAGAGAAACAAAAGCAGTTGATAATGGGACAGAACAAATTGAAATGAAATCATACTTCTTGATAGACTAATAGGATTTATATAAATGCATTTGGCATTCACAAATATAAATGCTTGCTTACATTGTAAAATAATTCTAGCTAAATAGATCAAATTGTGTTAAAAGAGATTTCTCTTTTAAAATGGTGAGTTCATTCAAGATAAAGTGATAAAGACATTATTGTCTTATTTTATATCTCCCACCAGGAGAAATCTTCCTGTCTCCAGTACTTCATAAGCACACAAAAATATGTGTGAATATGGGTGAACGGAGTTGTGAGATTGCCCAAAGCTTAGGGAATCCTCACTGAGGTATTAACAACAAGGCAGTGTAAGAAGGAGGCTTAAAAAAAGAGGAACATAGATGGGGTGAATTTAGTTAAAGTACATTATATTAAATATTCATGTTTTAAATGTTAGAGAGAAACACCTTTGTACAATTAATTTATACTAATAAAAATTAAATTAAAAAATTAAAAAGAAACCAAAACAAAATGACCATTTTAAAAAGTCAGTGAAGGAACTGGGTGGGGGGGAAGCAAAATTATTGAGGGGGATCCAGCATAGCCAGAGGGCAATGGGAAGATATGAGGGAACTAAGAAGAGGGATGTACCAAAGGAAAGTCTGGATACCTGGCACATTCAAGACTCCGAAAAGCAATCGGAAATAAGAAGTTCTTACTTACACACAAAGATCTTGCCACCCCTGAAATCATGACCACACATGAGTGCTTGATACAAAGGCAGTCATCCAATAGACTGAACTCTAGAAATCTCAGTACTCAAGTGGCTAATACACCCAGTAGGATCTTCCCTCTGACACAGAGGAGAATTACTTTAGACTAAGGGCCCAGAAAAAAATGTCTGTAGAATTGAGACAGAGTTGCTGAGTTGTCTAAAGGATGACTCAGTACTTCATAAGGTCAGAGACGAGATTTCTGAGATGGATTTCTTTGTGTCCTTGTTATCACTGAACCCTAGTACTGGAGGTGAAGTCTGAATGCACACGATATGAAAGGAACCTCATTTCCTGTGTATGTATGCTTACAAGTGCATGTGTAAAAGAGCAGGAAAGGCAGATTTGGGAAAAGAACAAGCAGAAAGCAGAGGTAGCCTGAGTCATGGGAGAAGAAATGGAAACATGAAGAGGAAACATTATAGATAAACCTGCTTGGATTTTCACTGGCCTGGGGCAGCAGGTGTGCCCAGTGCCTCTAAGTCACAATGTCAACTTTGGCAACATGTACTTCTTCATCTCTGAAGAACCCAGAAATAAGAGACAGGAAACACTAAAGGTGAATGCATTCTGAAGGATGAAAATATGAATCCAGGTAACTTGAACAGTTATAAAGTCTGGTGTTATCTTCAGAAGGCAGAGTCCAAAAGTCTTAAAAATGAAACTAGTTGGAAGCTCAGTCTGTGGCCAAATAAACAGGCATTTCTGAAAATGCTGCTAGCATTTTATATTCAGGGGCATCATTTAAAACCAGTGCTTACTTTTTCTTAATTATGTAAGTAAATACATGCTCACTGTTGAACGTTTAGAATATACAGAATTCACAAATTCAAAATACTTTGATGGATGAATGGATGAACATTCCGATAATTCCAGAACCCAGACCAAATGAAGACATCTTATAGCAGTTGGTATTACAGCAGTTGTTCTGTTACAGAAGTTGTGCTTGAACTTAAACTGGAACTCTTCCAGCAAAGGATTTAAGTTTTAGCTTAGAGTCAGTTATTTTAATCAGTCTGCAGAACATAACTTTGGACACCACAGTTGACATGAACAGGTCATGAACCAGAATTTTGGGCCAGGACAATATGTGGTGCTATTTCATTATCCATTGAGGCCAACTTTGGTCTGTGCACTCTCGTATGTGTGTCCAATCAGCAGCCATATGCAGACCCAGTGAAAGAACCAGGATATTCTGTTTGAGACACTGTGCTTACTGAAATCATTTCTGGTTGCTCCAGAAGAACAAGATGCTCTTTTATTTTAAAATGAAATTATTTCAATGACAGGTAAAGAAAAAAAAATTTCACATGATTGCACTAATTCGTTTGATCTAAAAGAGATGACCTCATAGAAGTACAGAGGTACACAGATCAGCAGTTACCAATGGTTACCAGAGTCTGGGGAGGGTAGGGAAAAGATGGAAATATGGAGAGATTGGTCAAATAGTACAAAATCACAGTTAGATAAGAGGAGCAAGTTCTGATGCTCCACTGCCCATTGGGGGAATATAGTAAACAATACTGTATTATATATTTCAAAATAACTAGAAGTAAAGGTTTTCAATATTTTCACCACAAAGAAAGGATAAATGTTTGAGGTGATGGATATGTTAATTGTCCTGGTTTGATCACGACATACTATATACATTTACAGATGCATACCACAATAGTACAATGGTAACAACACAATTATTATGTGTCTATTAAAAATGAAATAAAGCTTACAGCTGAGCATAGAAGTACACACCTATAATCCAGCACTCAAGAGGCTAAGGCAGGAGGATCACTAGTTCTAGGCCAACCTGGGCTACATTGTGAGTTTAAGGTCAGCCTATACAGCAAGACCCTGTCTCAAAAAACAAAAATATATAAAAACAAATAAATAAATAAAAACACAATAAACCTTGAAATAGTTACTATAACTAATACTATTATTATTATTATTAATTTTGGCAGTATTGGGATGTGAACTCAGAGTTCCATACTTGGTAGGAAGATGCTCAACCACTCGAGCCATGCCTCCAGCCCTAAAACAATATTAATGCAATAATTTCAAGTGTGTCTCGTAAAAGCACCTGAAAAATACTATTTTAATGAGCTGTCAGAATGCACCCCATCAGAACAGAGTAGACAAAGTAGGAGAGGGTACAGTGGGACTCAAATCTGCATTCTGAACCTGTGTAAAGGTTGGAGTAGGAAGGCAAAGCCCTGCTTCCAGGGGAACGGGATGTTCCCTGTGGACTGGGAACAGAACAGGGGGAGGGAACCCTAGCCTCTGTCCCTTTTGTCCTGCTGCTTGACTCTGTACTACGAGCCCTTTCTCCAGCCCACTCCTAGAAAGGAAAGCTCCTCAGCAGCACATGCAAGGCTGAGTGGGCACTGCCAACAAAGGGCTTGGCAAAGGGTTATACTCAGATGAGAACAGTATCCTCCTCCGTTCCAGGACAGGTCCCACAATAGCTAGGCAAGATCTAGTTAAGCCTCAATTAATTATAGCTTTCTTCTCCACCCTAGAGCTTTATTCTTCTGCAAAAGAACAAATTCAGTCACTTCCATGATTGACTTTTTCATTTAAAAAAAAATTCAAAGGCTTTGTTAAGTTGCTGACCTAAAGCCAGAATTACTCCTAAAAAGGAACTTACATGAGTTGCATACTCTTAAATAAGTTCCATCAGGTTTTTGAATGATTTATCATTCCCATAGCATCTCAATACTAAAAAGAAGTGGCTATTTAACACTAATTATTATTGTTGATTAAATAGCATAGCCATTCATTTACTACTTGTGACCAACAGGTAAAGAACATTGGCACTATAAAAATACCTTGGGGAAAAAAAAATCATCTGGCAATGTACTCACTTATTACATTTTATTAAATGAAAGACAACATAATTGCAATATGGGGCCTATAACAAACTAAAGATAGAAATAGCCACAATAAGATTACTAAACATACCTGAACTAATTCTGCCTTTAACTCTTCCTTCTCTTCTTCAGAGAGCATGCTAGAGAATTCAGCATTGGCTACTGCATCCTCATCTCTTCCTTGCAATGGTTCAGTCTCCAACAAACCTTTAGGCAAAATTGATAAAACATAAAACAATTTTAAAAACTAATTTAGCTAGCTTCTGTATCATAGACTGGAGGATTAGATACACTGACTAACCCTCCCACTGAAAACCAACTGCAAATTCCAGAAAAGAAGTCCTCTTAAATATGTGTTGAGCCCTAAGAAAGCAAAGAATACTCAAAATTCAAGAAACTAAGTGAAAATGGGAAGCCAGGGATGTAAACAAGACAAGCTTTCATTGAAGGGTAAATTCCAGATTTGCTTTTTACTGCCTCAAGGTTCATAGGGGGCAAAGAAAGAAATTCAAACCTCACTTGAGGAGAGGAGTTTAATGTGAGATCCCTGTGTAAATCTGTGTCCTCACAGGCTTCATCCAGAGGCAGGTAAACTAGCAATGATAACACTTGCTCCCCACAAGGAGCTGCAAGGCAAGTTGTCTGTCTTGAAACTCAGCAGTGAATGGACCCTAAGAACTCATAACCCTGAGTCGGTGGCATGTGAGCTTGTCATTTGAATACACACTATCTCTGTGGTTCTATACAACCTGAGACCAGAAGTTAAATTGGGAAGCCTCTTCTACTTTGGATGTAATAATACACAGAACCTCAAACATGTGCTGGGAGGAAACACTGTGGACAAATGGTTCTGGCAGAGGAAAAGGCCAGGTCTTTGATGCCACCATTGTGCCACAGACTAACCCCCAGGTAAGCTTAACTTGTAACTAACTGGTCATGATAGAAAAATACTTCTTATTTAAGATGTAAGAAGTTCCCTGGGATGGGAACTGAAGTCTGGCTGACTTGCAAGCTTGTGTTCTCTGGAGAACCCAGGAAATAGGCCCAAACATGGACAGAAACTTCATTATGACATGATTTATGATAAAGTTGGCATTTACACATCTACAGGGAAAGGAAGACATTTAATAATTGTCCTGGAACAGTTATGTATATGGAAAACATTAATGTGGACACCTTTACTCTACTCATGGAGACAAAACTATGAACATTTTAGAAGATAATCCAGAAGGTTTTTATTTATGAACCTCATTTCTTAGACAAGACATAAAAAAGGCAAGCAATGGAACAAAGCACAAATAAAATTAAGAATGTATCTACATGAAACACACCATAAAGAAATGAAAGACAAGCTACAAGCTGGAAGATACCAATCATATGTATAATTAACACAAAAGACCTATTCCTAGAATATGCAGAACATCTACAAGCCAGTTTTAAAAATGGAGCCCAGGGAGATTCCAAGATGCCGGCTAGAGGGAGGAAGCAGAAAGCATGCTTCCTAAAGTAAAATCTTGGAGAGATGCTGGAGATACACCTTACAGGAAAAACCACCCAGAAGAGGCAAAACTTTGACTCCTCCACACCTCCAGCATATGCATAGCATCTCTACTCCACATTAAGGGAGAAACCAGGAGGGCCCCTGCACTGATGCCAGACACCAGTGCCCAGACAGCTTGGGAAGACGCAGACCACAAGGTGAGCTAAGTGGTACGTGGTACTCCCACAGACAACCCTGGGCCAGATCAGCATAGCCCCCAGACAGACCGACCCCCACCCAGGGAAAAAAAGAGAAACTGAATAATAAGCAATAACAACAAAAAAGACACATAGCAAAGAGAGCAGGGCATCCTGAGCGCCAAATGGGGGGGGAGGGGAATCCCTCACAAGCCGGCTGGAGAAGGCAGGAGCGGCAGCACACGCCCAGCAATCAGGAGCGGGAAAGCTTGTAAAAGTGGCGGTGGGAGGAAAACTCCACAGGAGAAGGGGGAAGGCCCACTTCCCATGTGAGCTGTAAATAAACACACCGGCCTGAGAAAGCGGGTGCAATGTCACTTCCCCCAGTGTGCTCGGAAAGGGGAAAGCTTGTAGCAGCGGCTTGCGCACAGGAGAACTCTGAGCAAACAAAGCCTGCATGGCCAGGGGAGTGTTAAACTCACCCCTGAGATCTGCATAAATAATGCCACCAGTAACAGCAGGCTGACAGCAGCGGGCAGGTGAGCCACAGCCACAGATACCATTCACAGACCTGTCTCCACACTCCTTTTTTTTTTTTCTCACTCCCTTTGATGAGACAATAACCGAACTACACCTGCATGCTGAAAAACTTACTGAAACTGTATTGCATTTGAACTTGGGACACTTTGTGGGGTGTTTTGTTTTGTGCTGTTTTGTTTTGTTTTTATTAGTTTTGTTCCCCTTTGATGAGACAATAATAGAACTACGTCTGCGACACCATCTCTAGGACTGGAGGCTGAGGGACGAACACCAAAATTATTAAGACTGAAACTTTATTGCATTTGACCTTGGAGATTTTTATATATTTTTTCTTTTTTCATTTAATTTTTTTTCTTTCTTTTTTTTTTTTTTATTTTCCATCCTCTCTCTGTCTCTCTAATGCCTGTTCAGCTTACTGTTGATTAGTACACTATCTCTCCCTGTTTATGTCTTTGAAACTTTTTTGTTGTTTATTTGTTTTTCCCTTTTTCTTTAACTTCTTTGCTTTCATCTCCTCTCACTCTTCCATTCTAAATACCACCATTGTTATTATAACAAGCTAGAAAATACTTAATTGCACACAGTACAGAGACAATAACAACACCAAGGGCAATGACAGGAAGACAGAAAAAACAGGGAAACCAGTTTCCCCACAGCAAAAAATTAGTACAGGAACCAGAGGGGAATGAATAAAACAGATACTCAGATCCAGACTCCAACAAAATGACGATAAACTATGCCAAAGAACCCAATGAAGCCCACAAGAACATCTAAAAGAAGAAATACTACAGGTAATCAATGAGAATTATATAGAAATGATACTGGATAGGGTCAACCAAAATGTACAGGAGACACTCAAGAAATTCCAAGACAACAAAGGTAGAGAACTTGAAAAAGCAAAAGAAGAAATAAAAGGAACCACAGAATCACTGTATAACCACCAAAGTGAAACAAAGAACATGATTAATAAAGAGATAAATGAACTCAGGACAAAAATAGACAACATTAAAGAGGAAGGGACTCAGGATATGGAAAATCACAGAAAAAAGAACAAAACAGAATTGCAAAACAAAACAGAAGGCCAATACAGCAGAATAGGACAAACAGAAGACAGAATCTCAGAACTTCAAGATGAAATGGTAATTAAAGGAAAAATTGAAGAACTATTAATTAAACAACTCAAGACCTGTGAAAAGAAAATGCAAGAACTCACCAACTCCATCAAAAGACCAAACCTGAGAATCATGGGTATGGAAGAAGGAGAAGAGGTGCAAGCAAAGGGAATACATAATATATTCAACAAAACAATAACAGAAAACTTTCCAAATCTGGAGAAACCTATTCCCATATAGATGCAAGAGGCCTCCAGGACACCAAACAGACCAGATTAAACTAGAACTACCCCATGACATATCATCATTAAAACAACAAGTTCAGAAACTAGGGAAAGAATATTGAAGGCTGTAAGAGAGAAAAAACAAATAACATACAAAGGTAAACCCATCAAAATCACAGCAGACTTCTCAACAGAAACATTAAAAGCAAGAAGAGCGTGGGGTGAGATCTTCCTGACACTGAATGAAAATAACTTCAACCCCAGGATACTCTACCCAGCAAAACTATCATTCAAAATAGATGGAGCAATAAAAGTCTTCCATGATAAGCAGAAACTAAAACAATATGTGACCACAAAGCCACCACTACAAAAGATTCTTCAGGGGATTCTGTACACAGAAAGTGAAACCCAACATAACTATGAAAGGTCAGGCAGCACCAAACTACAGGAAAAGAAAAAGCTAGAAAGTAGACAGTAACCTCAACTTAGGTACACACAATCAAACCTTCAAACAACTAAGACAACTAAATGACAGGAATCACCACATACCTATCAGTACTAATGCTTAATGTTAATGGACTTAATTCACCCATCAAAAGGCACCGTTTGATGAAATTGATTAAAAAGGAAGATCCAACAATTTGTTGCTTACAGGAGAACCATCTCACCGACAGAAATAAGCATAGGCTTAGGATGAAAGGCTGGAAGAAGATTTACCAAGCCAATGGCCCCCCCAAACAGGCAGGAGTAGCAATACTTATCTCTGACAAAGTAGACTTCAAACCCACATTGATCAAATGAGATAAAGAAGGACATTCCATACTAATAAAAGGGGAAATAGACCAAAAGGAAATAACAATTATTATGCACCCAATGTCAATGCACCCAATTTCATCAAACATACCCTGAAAGACCTAAAACCATATATTAACTCCAACAGAGTGGTTGTGGGAGATTTTAACACCCCATTTTTTTTTAATTAAGTATTTTTTTTTCTTTTATTATTCATATGTGCATACAAGGCTTGGTTCATTTCTCTCCCCTGCCCCCACCCCCTCCCTTACCACCCACTCTGCCCCCTCCCTTTCTTTCCCCCCAACCCCTCAATACCCAGCAGAAACTATTTTGCCCTTATTTCTAATTTTGTTGTAGAGAGAGTATAAGCAATAATAGGGAAGGAACAAGGGTTTTTGCTGGTTGAGATAAGGATAGCAATACAGGGCATTGAGTCACATTGATTTCCTGTGCGTGGGTGTTACCTTCTAGGTTAATTCTTTTTGATCTAACCTTTTCTCTAGTTCCTGGTCCCCTTTTCCTATTGGCCTCAGTTGCTTTTAAGGTATCTGCTTTAGTTTCTCTGTGTTAAGGGCAACAAATGCTAGCTAATTTTTTAGGTGTCTTACCTATCCTCTCCCCTTCCTTGTGTGCTCTTGCTTTTATCATGTTTAACACCCCATTATCATCAATAGATAGGTCATCCAAACAAAAAATCAATAAAGAAATACTAGATCTAAAATATACCATAGATCAAATGGACCTACTTGATGTCTACAGAACATTTCATCCAACTTCTACACAATATACATTCTTCTCAGCAGCCCATGGAACCTTCTCTAAAATAGATCATATCCTAGGGCACAAAGCAAGCCTCAGC